TAATAAATTGTTGTTTCATGTCTTCATGTATAAGTTGATTCATATAAGTTTGTTCATTTTTTCAGACTAGAAAGAGGGGGAGTGATCCTGTCCCAGCAGTTGGAGTGTCAACACAAGAAAGCACAAGTAAAGTAAGTAGTCATCTTTCAGGTTCTTTTAGTTTCAACTATTAATAGTCATCTTTACAAAATAACACAAACTGACCTTACTTGTTCATGTTTTCAGACTAGAAAGAGGGTGGTTGATCCTGAACCAGCAGTTGGAGTGTCAACTCAACAAAGCACAAGTAATGTAAGTAGTCATCTTTCAGGTTCTTTGACTTTCAACTATTAATAGTCATCATTACAAACTAACACAAACAAAACTTACTTGTTAGGTTACAAACCAATCTGTACCTGTTGCTCCACCTGCCCCTGCCCCTGCTTTTCCTGCTACAACAAAGTGGTATAAATCTAGTACACATTCCCCTACTCCACCTGTTGCTCCACCTGCTCCTGCTCTACCTGCCCCTGCTCCACCTGCCCCTGCCTCTGCAACAAAATGGTTCAAAGCTGCCCCAACTCCTTACCAACAAATACAGATGGGACATCCCACTAAAGGAGTGGTCATCAGAGGACCAGTACCATTTGTTAGTGGTCATTTCATACCAAGCCAAGAGAGCTGCCTAACTGAGAGAGATTCAAGATTGAAGGAGATATTCAAAGAATGTGGCCAAAAGTACACCTCTATTAGTAGTCTTGTTCCATCTGTTGATCCTAAAAAGAAGGAAAAGAATGTAACCAAATAAGTCGGTTGTGTTTTGATATAAACTGAATTTGGGTGTTGTTGATTGATGGTTGGTTTTTGGATATTAACTGGATTAGGGTGTTTTTGTTATTGTCACTGAATGGTTGATTTTTGTGTGGATGGTTTAGTTGGTTCAGGTTATGGACAAGTTCTTTTGGTTTGGAATTGTGTTTGTTATGGAAATGTATGTGAAAATTTTTTGGTTCTGTCTGGTTCTGCTTATGGTTTGATTTTATGGTTATGGAGATGAACTCAAAGTTCAGGTTACTTTTGTTCCAAGTTCTGGTTATGACTTCAGGTTATGGTTTGATTTTATAGGTTCTGCTTATGGACAAGTACACCTCTTGTTGTTTATAATGTTCTTGTTCTGGAGATGAACTTAAATTGTTCTGTTTAAGATAAACAAAAATAAGATAAACAAAACTAACAAGACCAACAACTCCATTACAACACAAAGTGTTGACAACACAAACAACACAAAGTGTTCACAACACAAACAACACAAAGTGTTCATCGAACAACATAAAATGAAGAGAAAACATACAACCTTGGAAAACATACAACACAAAATGAAGAAAAAATATACAACTTGTTGCAGCACATAACAACAATAAAAAACATACAACTTTCACCACATGACAACAAGCAAAATAACGAAGAGAAACCATGTTGCAGCAACAAACACAACGAGCTTCCAGAATTTTTGATGAATTTTGGAAAATTCTTCATAGATGTCCTCCACATGCTGAAGTTGGAGTTCAACAATCTCCTTGATTTTTTTGTTCTCGACTTCAAGCAATAACATCTTCTTCCTGACCTCAATCATTTCATTGGCCAGAATATGATTGTTCGAGCTCTCAGGAACATCTTCATCCATCCATCTAAACGTACAACCTCCATCCTTTCAATACTTACAACCGTGAAATTTCTTACCAGGATTTATTGAAGTCCGTGATCTGCGTATTATAGCTCTCTTGCCACAATCACAAAAAAAGTTGGAAGGCACCGAGAAGGAAGTAGCAGAAGACATCAGTGTTCGCTCTCTCTTTCTCTCTCTCTCTCTCTCTCTCTCTCTCGGTCGAGCTTCTCTCAATTAGGGTTACACGGGTCGATTTTGGGGCAAATTGATTTTAAGGAGAGTTACACCTGATGTGGCAATTTCATTTTCCACGTGACGGCTCCAATTTTGTATTATCCTAAAATGAGGCGCACATCGGATAAAAAAATGCCACGTCAAATTTTTATCCCGGGGTCGGATAAATTAGGACCATAAATGATGAAATTGACAAGTTATAGGACCTAAATTGAAAGTGGTCAATATATGGGTGGTTTTTTGGACTGTGACCAAGTTATAGGACCAAAAATGAAATTTTGCCTAAATAAAAAATCTAATTTGGTTGTATTTAAACTAAAATGTTTATTTTTCTGTATTGGCGTTGCTCTTGATTATGATGATGGCGTTGTATTTAAATATAATATTTACTAGTACAATACTCATGTACTACACAGGTGATTGATAAAATAATCAAATGTACAACAAAGTATGAAAAAAAAATTATATATTTTGTTAAAGTTGGAAAAAATAAATAACGAACAATTTATAAGAAAGAACTACGTGAATTCCATCATGCGCTCTCTCCAAATTCTGGCTGTTTTGCCTTCCTCGGTGACGGTGTAGTCTCGGCTAGGGTTCGTCCTTGACCGCCCTGCCCTCACTTTGGGACTGTGACGCTCTGTGGATGGCCCGTGATTGGGGATCTGGCTCTTGGTTGCAGACATGGCTTCAATTGGTGGTGGCGTCCCTCCCGGTCGGTGATTGGCCTGCTATTGAGGATCTCCTCTCCGTCGTCAGTGATGCTCCGACTGGTGGCGGTAAGTCCCTCGATTTTATCCTTGTCTTCGATTGCTGGGATTTGATTTTTCTGGCGGGGCTCCGCCTTTCAGGTGGGGCTTGGACCTCTGGTCGGGAAGTCTGTGGAGGTGTCTGGCGGAGCGGCGCGCCTATTGCGGTGGTCGGGGTGAGGGACCGATTCTCTCTCACAATCCCCTGTTCGGCCAGTGGTGTTAGGTGGCGGGGGACCAGGTTCTTTCGGCCTCGTCTAGTGGTGTTAGATGAGTTCGGGCCGGTGTGGGGGTTGATCGTGGCTTTCTCGGTTACAGACGGGTCAATTCGGGGATTGGTTCGGGGTTAGGTTTCTTCTATTGTATAGGCGGTTTGCAGTTTCGGTAGCAGTTTCTTTGGCCTGGAATCTTTCTTGTATCGATCGTTCACTGCTGGTTGGGCTAGTTCGTTCGCTGGGGAAGGGCTCTGTTTGTTTTGTTTAGTTTGTGTTGTTCTTGTTGGTGTGTTGTCTTTGTTTGTGTTTGTGTTAGTCTGTGTGTTTTAGGTTTGGGCCATTGGCCCCGGTTTGCCTGAGTGTAACCTTATTATCTTGTTGGGATCGTACACTCGGGCATTATCCCTTTGGGATCGTTTGTCATTGTTTTTTAGTTGTGTTTCAGTGGTTTTTTAGTGTAGTCGCGAGTTTGTTTTTCTAGCGTTGCTAGCAGGTTCTAGGCGATCTCCGGATCCGTCCTCCCAATCTTTTGGGCCTTGGTTGTACATTCAGCTATTGGTTGCTCTCCTTCCGCACGTTGTGCGGTTCTTGTTATATTATATCTCTATAGTTTCGACAAAAAAAAAATAAAAAAATAAAATTAACAATATTATTTTAGGTTCTTATTTTGTTATTTAAATTGTTTTTTTTTCATTGGAGACTCATTGTTAATATATTCTTGTTGGAGATGTAACATATTATATTATTTTTTTATATTAAGATATCATTATGTTATTTAAAAAAAATCATTAGGAGTTCATTTGTTCTACATTTTATTTCGTTCCTGCCATAATATGTTTAACAAATTTATTCATTTATATTTACTATACTTAATCGACAAAAAACATTACTACCATATGTATCGCATCGTATACTTTNTATAATTAAAAACTTTTTTTGTTCTATCTTAATTTAAATTAATAATCTTATTTATTTATTGAAAATGTACTAACAATATTTATATTTTATATTTCTAGACAAATTTTTAAAAATATTTACAATGATTTATTTTTTCGGTCTCTTCATTGTAAATCCATTTATCAATTTTTAGAATCGAGTAGTTATTGTTATTTTTTTACTTTTTTTTTGTGACAATCACATATTTTTAACTTTATTTATTTTTTTCTTAAAAAAATGCTCATTTGATAAGCTCTCATCAACAAAAATGATATGCAATGTGCTGCAAATTTTAATTTAAATCAAATTTTCAACCAGAAAACTTATTTTTCCATAAATTATAGATGTTGAACTTAAATTATATAATCTCGATCATTTTTTCTTTTTTTTTTGTTTATTCTTGTAGAAGTTTGAGGGTGATACGAATTATAATAATTTAAAAACTTGATGATACATATATCGATATCTATATTAACTAGTAAATACATTTTTACATGAAATAAACGTTTCGACTCAAATTATAAGCTCGCTATTTAAAACTGAGCCACCTGAATAAAATTCCCAAATACGTTACGTACCTAGTTTGAAGATATGGTTGACTGTGATCTACTATGCATAGCATATTATGACAATTTTAATTAATACTGTGTGAACTTGGTATTAGACATTTGTTTGTGCTGTACATTAACGTTATCATATCATATATATATATATATATATTGGTGAATTAATTTATTCTTGGTTTCAGCTATTAGTTCTCTCATTTGTTGTGCACAAGGCCGGCCAAAGTCAATTCTGTAATCTGTACAACTTGTGCTTACACTATAGTGGGACTTTAACTAAAGTTGGATTTTACTCCACTGCAGGAGATTAAATATGTTTAGTGGACTACAGATTAATGTAAAAGAAATATATATCTCCCATTATTATAGAGGCCATGCCTAATTACACAAAGATTGAGACATCTTTCAAGGAAAAAGAAAAAGTGAAAGAAAAGAAAAAAAGAATAGATGCGGATGTCAATATTTCTGATCTTTATCGGCTAAAAAGCTAAGAGCCGGACTTCTTGATCTTGTACCAATAAAGAAAATATGTTTTAATCTTGAACTTTATCAATTTTTTTGTGCAAATGGATTAAAAAGTGCAGAAAAATACAAAATTCATTGTTTAAACATTTATGGAAATTTCTCCTTGAGGTCGATTTATTCTCTTTGGTTCCTAATGGATTCTGAGGCGATGGGAGCCACCAGTTCCATAGATATCACAGAGGAATTGGAAAATAGGCTAAGAGGTATTGAGCTGTCAGAATCAGAAAACACAGTGATTGAACTCAAAGATGATGATATTAATGCAGTTGGAGCCTCTTTGGGAAGATAATAGAAGATAGAAAAGCAAATCTCCTGGGGGTGAAGAGGAATGTGAAGAGGCCTAGGTGGCACCACTTGGGATCTTCTGAACTCAAACTTTGGGTGCAGGTAAATCTTTTAAGAACTTGTCTTGTAGTAGCAGAAATAATACCAGCCAGGGGACATATACTAACACAGGAGCTACTGAGAAAACATTTTTGAACCAATAAGGTCCACTCAGAGAGAACCAGGATAAATCACAAGAACTGAGAAACTACCAAAAGCCAGTTGGATGAGAGACGAACTATATAATCTCAAAAATTATTTATTAGGGTACTTTTAGACTTATTAGTTTGTTTGGGGTTTCTTACAAGATAATCTCAAATATTATTACCGCTAGACTAAAAAAGTTTCTTATTGACTATGGTAGCCAAAACCAAGTTGCATTCATTCCGGGCAGACAACTTTTGGACAATTTCATTATTTCCCAAGGGACTGTCCATTTTTTAAATAGGCATAGGTCTGGTAGAATTGGGTACATGGTTGTGAAGCTAGATATGAAGAAGGCATATGACCTGATTGAATGGGACTGTGCGTAGAAAATCTTGAGTAAAATGGGCTTCATTCAGTTTTTGTTAAGTGGGTTATAGCTTGCATCTCCACTATTGCTTATTCTTTTTATTCTAGGAGATTAAGGCAAGGAGACCCTCTGTGTCCTTACCTGTTCATCTTGGTTTCTGAAGTATTGTCCAAACTCTTAAATTCAGTTACTGAGAGAGGTATTTTCCAAGGGATAAAATTAGCTAGAAGAGGGCCTCAAACATTTACTCTTTGATGATGGTTTACTTGTGTTCAGTGTTGCTGACTATAATCATGCCTACTTAATCATGAATCTGGTTGGAAAATACCATAGCTTTACTAGGTAGAAGGTTAATCTCAGCAATTCATCAATGTTTTTTAGCAGAAACACCCATGTCTTCAATTCAGGATTTGTCAGGTTCTTCAAAGAATTCAGGTTCACAATTCATCAAGGTATATAGGCTTACCCCTTGGGATAGGGATATCAAAGAAGGAGGTATTTGATTATATAGTGACTGCTGTAAGGAATATATTGATTAACTGGAGCATGTTTGTTTATAAGATTTTTCAAAAAGTTTCCAACATTTTAACTTAACAACTTTTTTTAACTCAACTTTAATTCAACCCCACTATCATCAATATAATTAAATAATATCAATCAAACAATCATACACACAACATCAACCTTAATTCACTATTCATCCACTCACGTTATTTTAACTAACTATCACTTCAAATCATCTCTCTCATACTTTTGCATCAAATCAATTTTAATTATTTTATTTTAAATATTATTTTAATATACCCACTAACACCTAACCATACCACCTTTTTCAAAATTAACCAAACTAAACTAAAAAATCTAAACAAAACAAAAAATTTTCATAAACAAACATGCTCTAATTTCTTATCTACTACTGGTAAAGAAGTTTTGATAAAGGTTGTTATTGATGCACTCCCAGTATTTTCTATGTCTTGTTTATGTCTTCCTAAAGAGGTGTGCAGGGAAATTACCAGGTTAACAGCTGACTTTTGGTGGAGCAAAGGGAGTGAGCAGCTCTCAGGTATGCATTGGAAAGCCTTGAACTTACTAACTATGCCTAAAGATAGAGGTTGTCTGGGGTTCAAAGGCCTTGGCTTGTTCAATGAGGCTCTGATCCTTAAGCAAATCAGGAGGATCCTTACAAATCCAAATATGTTGGTTAGTAAAGTGCTTAAGGGCAGATACTTTCCTCAAGGTAACATACTTCAGGCCAAAAAAATCCTCTTTTGCTTCTTGGTTTTGGTCTAACTTGTTGAGTGTTAGGGATAAGTTAAATCCAACTTCAGACTTCAAATTAGGTATGTGTTTGTAGTATTTTTGGGCATGTGGTAACCGAGCTACCCGACTCGGGTCGTTCTCAAAGGAAGGCTGTTCGGAGCTTCGTTTACTACCTAGTCGTCAAAGTCACATAACCAAAAAGAAGGTCCTAAACATTCTACTCGCTTGATTGTGTGTGATTTGCACGAAATTACACTAAAAATCTAGAGCAAATGATAAAAATGCAAGAATCGAAGGAATTGTCAAAGCATTGGTTGTACGGAATCTCCATAATTCAAGAAAATAAATGAAAACAAGAGAAAACATGCGAGCATAGTGATCCTAGGTAATCTAACACGAGCTTTCTACACTAAATCATCACGCTTTAAACAAAGTCGAGACCTTTATAGTAGATAAGCACGTATTGATTCCTAACACACAAAAGCAAGCAATAAAAATAAAGAAAAACCAAGAAACGAGCATAAACACACAATTCGAAAGGCAAAGTCGAAGTAGTAAGGCCTAAGCAAGGTACCTACTCTCCCATAGCATGCTCGAACGAAAATAGTGAATAAAGCTCGAAACTTGAATGAAAATAAACTTGTCGGAATTTCGCCGGAAAAATAGTCATGAACCTCCCAACTAAAGCATAAAAAAAAGAAAGAAAAAGAAAAGAGGAGAGAGAAGAGAGAATATGGAGAGGATTTCCCAACTTAAAAGTTGGGAAATGAGGGTTGTTGTCAAAATTACAAAGCACAATGTCTATTTATAGCTACACCACAAACACACACTAAAAACACGCACATTTAGTAAAACACTCTCGAGCTGGCGAAAAATTCCGCAGGTCGCGGACAGCATTGGCACGAGGTCGGCACGGGAAGGTACAGGCGCGGCGCGAGGAATGTGGAGCACTCTCGACCTGGCGGCGACCTTCGCGGGCGCGGACGGCAGGGAGGCAATACTCTCGAGCTGGGCACTTCGCGCGCGCGGGCTTGGCAGGTGCAACAACACTCTCGAGCTGGTGGGTCACTTCGCGGGTCACGGGCTGCTGAAGGACATGCTCTCGAGGTCACGGGGCGATTGGCGAGGCGCGGGCGCGAGAAAGTGGGCACTCTCGACCTGGCGGGCGTCTTCGCGAGGCGCGGGCGTGGGGGAAGTCGGCACTCGTGCGTCTTGGGCGCGGGTTGAGGCGCGCGGTCACGAGTGGCCCTGGGCAGTGGCACCCTCGAGGTCACGAGGTTGGCGCGGTTTTGAAACTAAGATTGACACGGCTCGAAATTCTCGGAAATGACTCGAGATTCATTGAAAAGGTTTGTCTCTCGGGACTCGGTTCGACTTGTCTTATCATTCTCGGAATAATCCTGAAAGTACACCCAAGAGCACGGAAAAGTACGCCAAAAATAGAATAAAGACAAAGACAAAGAAAATACACGAAACACGATAAAATGGACCGGATGACACTAAAACGAACCTAAAAAGACAAAACTAAAACACATAAAACACACGAAAATAAGCACAAAAACACAATAAACAACTCCCCCACACTTAGCTTTTTGCTTGTCCTCAAGCAAACAAAATAATAAGTAGTTCGAAAAGAAATATCGAATGGTCCAAGGTTAACAATCATGCAAAAATGAGACTCTCCTTATCATCCGGTAAACCAAAGAATCGAACTCACATTCGAAAACATGTTCCCCACAAAGTGAATCCATACAAAACAAAAACTCGTCTCAAGTCATCTTACACATGATTTTCTCGATCAAAGCCTCCTTTTTCTACAAACACGTGCACAAAGCTACATATGGTCTACTCAAAATGTAAAGTATGATTAGCAAGACCGAATGAGCCAACTCCCTTCCTTATTTGTTTGATTTTGCTTTTTCTACTTTTTTTTTTCNTCGAAGGGAGTGGCACAAACGTACACCATAAGATTTATCACATAGTCGTACAATCGATCAAGATGCACTACAAGTACATAGCATAACACGTTTACAATGGTATCGAGCATAAGGTAACTTATCTCAAGTCAATCAATCGAGAATAACAAGGGACAAAACAATTCCGTGAATTCACAAGCGGCTCCCACGTTTAACAAATTATCATTCAATTCAATGGTACCATCCAAATCATCAAGTTCATAAAGCACAAAAGTTAACAATGACGCCAATCGACCGACTTATCTCACCACTTAATCATTTTAAGCCTTCAAACTCACATCAAGCATCATGGAAGGGAATCGACACAAACACACAAAAACACAAGCAAAACCGGTCCAAAATGCAAAAATAAAACACCGAAAATGAAAGAAATACCGCCTAAGCATGCATAATCACGAAATCCCTCCCCCACACTTAAAACAAAGCAATGTCCTCATTGCTTGACCAAAAAGCATAGGAGAATCACATAATCATGCAAGCTCATGCGATACACAAAACGAAACATAATAAACGAACACACAAAAGAAAGGAAACACGAAGACACACAAGAGCAACTAAGAGAAAAAGAAAATAGGAAAAGAAAATGCGTACTCTACACGGTGGTGTTCCACCGTGTGTCTAATGGTGTTCGCCCGGTGGGAAAAGAGAAATAATCCGAAAGTCCTCTAATGCAAAATAAAGCCATCCGAATATTGAACAATGAAAGCATCTCGAACCATTCGCCAACCGAGCACTATGACATGTAAAAGCATATAGAATCCCGTCCGTCGGCTCCAAGTAAAGGCCATATGTATGTGTCTCGGAGGGATAATAACCGGGAATCCACAAACTCGACGAAGACACACGTATGCGTGAAAACTCAAAAATCGGGCCTTCGCACCCCTACTTTAATCAATGTACAACCACAAACACAACCGCACTCCCAATAACATAATAAGAATTCAAAACTACTCGCCACGAACACCACATTTCCCAAATAATCAACAAAATCTCCACACGACCCTCAAGACCGAAAGGCAACCATGCCACTCCTCTAAATCTTCAATACAAGCTCACGAACCCCCGATACATCTCCTCTACACTTAGTGTAAATCACCTCCAACTCAATAAAATCACGCCCAATTCAAATACATATGGCACGAGTAGGTCTAAGTTAATTACCTTGTAAAACAATGATCTCGGCACCAAGAGTAAGAAAAATCGAGCAATGAGTCATGTCCAAGCTCTAAGAGAGTGAAAAATCCATGAAAAACGGGTGAAGGAGGTGGAATCGCCGCAAAAAAAAAGTTTCCGGTGGCTTTAACGGCTCGAAACGGTCCCCGGAGGTCAAAAATGCCATTTCCGGCCGGAAAATATCGACGGCGGCCGGAAAACGGGGCCCGGAAGGTTCGCCGGAAAATTTGGCCGGAAAGTC